TTCAATGTCTTGAAATTTATTGTTTCTGTTTTGTTTTTCTAAATCATTTTGGGGGGCTCTCAGCACTTTTCTTTTGCAGCCTATTGCTGTATCATTTTTGGCGACTGGGACTAATTCCCTAGAGATCAACATGCCAGAAAGTGACAATTCTCTCGAACAGAGTTGCTGCACTTACTTCTCAAAGATAAGGCCGTGTTATTATGTATTATATCTAATACTTTAATAATACTTTATTGTGCTACTTATAGAATCATAGGACTTAGAAATTTTGTCTTCCTAATTTTAAATATTCATGTAATACTTCATATCTAAGACCGAGAGGGAAAACCACCAATGAATCTAATTTCTAAAAGCTCAAGGTAGTGAAAGAACCATTCTTTGTCTTTCACGGCACCTCAACTATTCTAAGCCAATCCATTGTTTCCTTTGACATCTTAGGGAACAAACACAAAATAAAGGCTCGAAATATTTCAGAAGTCATCAGATCGTCCTTTTAGTTCCAGGAAGTCCAATGTCTTCGTCAAAATGTTCAGATTACTATAAAATGCAAGATTTACCTAGCATGATACCTCTCTATGTATAATATATGCCCAGGTTCTACAATTTATGTTAACATATTTATCACAGTAAGACTTATATCTCACAAAATTTTGCTTTTAACCTTTTCGACCTGGAAAACATTATCGATTTTCTGTACTCTATTACTGGCTGCAGAGTATACAAGATGAGCCTAGGATATCTTGTGAAACCAGATAAAACCAAGCTCTTCAAAAATACCAGCTTTGTGTCAAAGAACTCAGCAGCCAATCTGAAGAGGATTCTTTTAAATGATGAGGAGACAACCTGAATATCAATAAGAATAATGACAACTGTACATGCCCCAGTACATTAAAAATTAAATTATTGATTCATAAATATATATATAAACATACATACATATGTAAATGTAGACAAAATAAGGTTGCTCAGGAAATAATTTAAACCAAGAAGGCATACTACTGAGAAGAACATTCTATGATAAAACTTAAGAAGAAAAAAAAACTAGATACGTGATCAACCATGATTTTTGTTCATGATGAGTAAATTAAATCTTTCTATGATACAATTCAAGTTCTTTTCCTGGTTTTCATCTTTAGTGGAGTCAGGACATGCACAGCTGGCCCTCATGATCAATTCAACAGCTATCAATGTGCTTGGAAACAGCTATTAAATCTATCCTGTTTAACAAGTACGAAAAAGAACTAAATTCCTCAACCTCTTTCACTCTTACTCCCAATTTCTCACAAGGATTATACAATTCTCTCTTGATAACTCTCTAAAAGCACATGTATGGTTGTGATAGGTAGGTTTATTGTGTCATCCTAGCCAATAGGAACACTTGGGATTAATAAGGTCACAGTTTGATTGGAGGACAGACAGATAAATGGCTCAGCAAGCCCTGCCTGTCTCTTTCTTGATCTCTGGTGATCAGACCAACATGTGGTTGCCTTAGCTAGTTCTCTGCCTTAACTTGCGAGCTACACTCCCTGTGGGACACCCAACCCATGGATCATGTCACTAGAGTTTGAGGTCCCTTCCAGACCTGCTTCTCCACACTGCTGGTGTATACATCGCTTGACCTTGGGACTGTCGGATCCTGTCATCTGGTTGACTGTTGGTGACCCGCCCTCCTGTTTGCTGCCTGTGGCCGGACTGCAGAAGACTCGGCTGTCTGCTCCCTTGTCCTTGGAGTCAGCAGCCCTCATGATTTGAAATACTTCCAGTATATTAACTGTTCCATGGAAGTGAGTTGAACTCAGCGCTCTGTACTGCTGTGGG